AGGTTATGTTTGTTTTGAACGAAAGCACCTTTGTTTTTTGCATCAGCCTGTTTTACTCATATGCTTGTAAAATGTAGGAAAGTCAAAACAGGGTTGTTACTGAATTATCTGAAAAATAAACAGATTCATCTAAAACAGCCAATTTCAGACCACCCATAGACAAGGATTTTCCATGGATCGTTGAAGCTAAACATGAATGTTTAAACCATAAAAATATAACCTAAAGGTAAATGCCATTTAAAAACTAGAAATTTGTGGAAATGATTTAGAAGAAATATTATCTAAAAAAATTACTTGGTGAATGATTTCACAATTTTCTCCCCCGAAATGAAAATGTAATGATCAAGACAAGTTAATCAATACTTCATTTTATTTCTTATTAGTGGCATTAAAAGGAAAGGGCATTAACATTTGAACACTTCATTCTACATATGTCAGGAACTTTATTGACATAATTTCATTTTTATGCACACAACAGCCCTATCAGGTAGATGTTGTTATTATTGAGGTTATGGAGGTTGAACTGCCCAGAGGACCAACCCCTGTGTGGTAAAGGGAGGAGCGGATCTTGTCAGTCTTGTGTAGCAATCTCACTGCTTCCCATTACATCACTCAGCGTTAACAATGCAATTACCACACAAAAGTACTCTAGTGGAAAGAAATGGCTCCCTGATTCATTTGTAATCTAGCCTATACCTGGAATCAGGAACTGATAAATAGTAAAGAAATCCCTGGACCAGGAATTGGAAGATCCAATACCTTCTGCTCAGCATAACAGGTAGTAATCTAGGGTATGGGAAAAATTCCTTGAGCCCCAGTTTTCTCATTTGCAAAATGGAAATTCTACTCTTCTAAGTTATTGTTGTCCTCTAAGATGGAACTACTAATGTTTTGTAACCGTAAAGAACTACACAAGTATAGGAGAATATTACCATATGACAGGTACTCAGAAAATACCAATTTTCTTTAAACAGGCAAGAAAAATATTTACAGTATGAAGACACTGAGTAAAGTTATATTCAGAATAGATTTCAAACGGCCTATCCTACCATGCAAAATTTAAATTTCACTATCAAGTGATGACTCCCTAGATAGAACTGAAGAGGCTTCCTAGGGTTTCCTGATTGAGTGGATGTAGGTGTACAAAGTTACAACCCCTCATTTTACATCACTGGATTTTATATTATCTTATTAGTCTTCCTCCCAAGGGATTTCTCCTCTACCTGAAGCATATTTTTAGTGTTTTTTCCCCCCTAAGTGCCTGAAAATTAAAAGATCTGCATTCTCGTTCCAGGTCAACCACATCCTGAGTATGGACACTGGCATGTTGACCTCTGAGGACATCAGCCTCTTTCACATAGAAAATAGGTTAGGCAATGTATAGGGTTGCCAGATAAAATACAGAAAACCTAGTTAAATTTGAATTTCCAGTGAACAGGATTTTACAGTATAAGTATGTCCTATAAATTTGGCAATGCTACCTGAGTGACTTCTCAGGTTCTTCACTCTCAGCATGGTATTACTTCAGAAGATACAAAATAATAATGATAATAATAATTGCTGATTTATTCAAGATTTACTCTTTGCCAGGCACTATTATCAATGCTTTAACATATATTATCTAAGTTAATGTTCTACAAAGCCCTATAAAATAGGATGCAGTTAGAGGGAGCACAGTTCATAAGCCTACTCTTCCCTCTGACATCGCCTGAAGGTTCAGGGGTCTCTAAGAATACCCTTAGTATTGATAATTCATGAGAAGGACTCACAGAACTCATTGGAAGTTATTATAGTTACAGTTTATTATAACTAAAGAATACAAATTAAAATTAAAAATTAAAATCCAAGAGGAGAAGTGCATAGGGCAGAGTCCAGGAAGGTTTCCAACATTGAACTTCCAGCTGTAGTGTCCCTGTGGAGTCCTGGACAGTGATAACTCCTCCTGGCAAACATACATGACGGCACACACAGAGCATTGCCAAACAGGGTCGCTCACTGCACTCTGGTGTCCAGAGTCTTTGTGGGGCTCCACCATCAATTGCCCATTGGCTGACCTCAATTTCTAGTCCCTTCATAGGTTAAGCTAAGACCAAATGACTCAAAGCCCTACCCTAAATCACATCCTTAGACTTTCTGGCATGGTCCAAAACCCCCAAGTAAACAAAGACACCTGTATCAGGCAGGACATTTCAAAGGCTTAGAGATAACCTCCAGTAGCCAAGGGCAAAGGCGAGACCTCTCTTTGGGCAAGGTTAAATTCCTTAATGTACAGGTAGATATTAGTTGTTGTTCCCATTTTAAACATGAAAAAACAAACAAACAAAAACAAAAAAAAAAACAACCTGAGGAATAAAGTCAAATGACTTACCCATGGTTGTACTGACCCAAAGTCAGTAGCAGAGCTGAAATTCTAATTCAGAGCCTGTGCTTTTAACCCCTGAACTGTGCTGGATTTGATTCACACAGAGATCCAGAACTGGGTCCCCATAATTGGTTGATTCTCCAGCTACTGTTACTCTCAAACCAAGCCATCAACTCCTGTCAAACAAAGCCTTATCCAACTCAAGTTGTTTACCATAAAAACCCTAGTTTCAATTCCCTTATTCCCTAATTAGGAAACCAGTCAAAGATGACTTTTTTCTTCTGACTGAAAAGGCACAGCACCCCAGCTTTGTCAATCACCGCTACAAATGTTGAGCGTCCACTGTACACCAGCCATGAGCAGAAGAGGTTACATTGCGTATTGTAGCAATGTCATTACTGGACCCAGGTAAGGTCAGTCATGAAGGATGTTCCTTCCCACTGTAATTTCTGAATGGTCAGTGTGCAGCAGTGTTGTTCGATTCTTGGTCTCTCTTTCTGTCTCCTTCCTCTTCTCTCTCCTGCTCTCTCACTGAGAGAGGTGGCCCTAGCTGCTAAGAATTTGCTGAATTTCTCTTTTACTCCTTCTCCTCAGCTCTATTGAGAACTGAGGTGAGAAGAGGGGACATGCTTTTGGGGGAGGTGGGGAACAGGCAAACAGCTTTGGTTTAGAGTTCCTTTGGTGTATTTAGCATGAAAACAAAGCAAGAAAAAAAATTTCCTGGCCGGGTGCAGTGGCTCATGCCTGTAATCCTAGCACTCTGAGAGGCAGAGGCAGGTGTATCGCTCAAGGTCAGGAGTTCAAAACCAGCCTGAGCAAGAGCGAGACCTCATCTCTACTAAAAATAGGAAGAAATTAATTGGGCAACTAAAAATATATAGGAAAAATTAGCCGGGCATGGTGGTGCATGCCTGTAGTCCTAGCTACTAGGGAAGCTGATGCAGTAGGATTGCTTGAGCCCAGGAGTTTGAGGTTGCTATGAGCTAGGCTGATGTCACAGCACTCTAGCCTGGGCAACAGAGTAAGACCCTGTCTCAAAAAAAAAAAATTTTTTTCCCTCAAGATTGAGCTAGGTTCTCAGAAGAATTGTCTAAATTTGAGGACCAAAACCATTGCTAACTTTGTGTTGCCATGGTATTCTTGGTTTGCCTTCTATTTATCTCAAATGGTGAGTTCTTAAGAAGAGAAAAAATGGTTTAGACTTAATAATCCCTATATTTCTGGCCAAAATAACATAATTGTTAAGACACAAAAGCAATCACTTACACATACCATACAATCAAAAGGGCAGAGAAAACTGAAGACCAGACAAGTACATGGGGAGGCCAGAGTCGCACAACAAGTTAGCATCCCAGTCAGAGCCGCACAACAAGTTAGCATCCCAGTCAGAGCTAGAACCAAGGTCTCCTAATTCAGAACTCAGCAAAGGGTATGCCACCTCCTTTAATGACAGACAGAGAAAAAGAGAGTCTGGGAGGAAAAGAGGGGGGAAGGAAGGAAGGCAGGCATGAAGGAAGACATGAAGGAAAGAAAACATGAAGGAAGGAAGAAGGAAGGGAGAAAAAGAAGGGAAGAGAAGGCCTTTGGTCTAAATAACAGAAAATAAACCAAAAGATAACATACAAAGGGAGACACTAAGCTGGCACTAAGTCAAACATAATTTAATTAAAAATTTAATAACTTAAAAAGATTTTCTGAAAACAACAGTGGAATTTTAGTTTTTTTGCTATTTGTTTATATTTAACATTTTTCTTTAAACAACACATTAATATGATGGTCTCCAAAATAAGTCTTTTGTTATTTGGATTGTATTTTTTGCTTGTTTTATTGAAAGATGTATTAAAAAGGTAGGAGGAGTGTAATTTGAGGTGGTAAAAGAGAATAAAGAGGCTACTTTGTTCTCTTTTTTTCTTGAAATAGTTTCACAACATACAACTACCTAAAAGTAATATTAATAAATGTTTAATAATCAGTACACCAAGGACACGAAATAATTAGGCTCAAATATCAACCAATGAGTCTGGATGCTGGTCAAATGTCATGGGCTTGGATAAATGCCATACTGGTGCCCATTGGCAGTCTTTCAGTGTTTTAAATCTTATAAGTCCTAGTAATTTAATGAGCTCTTATTTTGAATGAGTCACTATTTTATAAACATATTGCCATACTTAGTCCTCTCAACATCCCAATTTACAGATGAGAAAACTGAGGCCTAGAAAGGTAAAATAACTGCCCAATATTTCACAGCTAGTTGTTGGAAAAGTTGAAACTTTAACCCAGGTCTGGAACTTTGGAACCCATATAATTAAGCACTTAACATTGCCTCATATATGATGACATAATAAGTTGTATTGGCCATTGATGGGCACATCATTTTTGTTTGGGTGGTTTGGCTTAGTTTGTTTTGGTTTGGGCATATTTAGTTTTGTTTTAAGCCCACAGTCCCAAAGGAAGATTTTTGTAGTCACTCATAATTTTGTCCTACATTGTTTTGCATCTAAGCAAAGATGTTTCAGCATATTTAACTTGTCAACAGCAATTTTATAGATAAAATTTGACATAATAAAAAGTAAGAATATTTTAATACATTATAATTAGCAGTTATAAAGCACTTTTCATCGTCAAAGTTTAGCAGCATTCACTTTATTAATTTTCTCAGACCTCTACAATTATTTTCACAGGGAGTTGATAAGTAAATTCAAGAGTGAAGAAGACAATGGGCATGGGAGAGATATGACTTATGGGAGCAACCAGCCCCCAAATCACAATATATCCTTGTGTACCCAGCTCGCTGTACAGAGTGGAAATGGCATGTGTGTCTTCTCTCCTGCACTGAGTCCGCCTGACTTGGACTCAGGGGGAAGTAGAAAGCAGGTTAATGTTGCACTTCCTTATGATCTTAAGGGATCCAGTATCATGGGCGGTCATCATTCCAACATGTGGGTAAATATGAAGAATAAGCACCATTGAAACAAAAAGTATCACTGCAAATAAAAAGGCAAAAATTAACATTGAAACAAAGTCTGATAACAGCTTAAAGAATTGCTAAGGAAGAGAGAATTCAGGTATGAAGAGGTTATTTGGCGGGAGACCAAGTATATCGACATTTGTTTATTGGTTAGATTTATACATCACCTATGCTTGGTGTGGCTTGACAGTGCTCAAGTCATTACAGAAAAAAAGAAATGCTGAGAATCAGCAATAGATAAAGAAAATAATCTGGAGATGAGAGACTATTGTTGATTCCACCATGGCAACAATCCTGTGTGTTGATAAAAATCAAGTGTTGAATGAATCTGAAAGACTTCTCTTTTCCCTTGTTAGTAGAGACAATCATTTACCTGAAACACGAGAATAGATTATTTCTATGTCATCACCTGTGTGGATCTCAGTCAGGTACCTGGGCCCTCGTACTGAGCAGTGGGGGATAAAGTAAAGAATAACAGAAAGTAAAATATCCCAAAGAGTTGGACATAGTCAGAAGTCATCAGCAATCGCTCACTAACATCCATATTGAAACTTGTGGCATTAGTAGGTTGAGTTGTGGTGACTCCCCAAAGGCCACAATTGATGGAAATCATAAATGTGTCAGTTCTCACAGATGCACTGTGTTCTCCCGAACAATCCCCTAATGAGGCTGTTCATCAACATCCAAGCTGCAAAGCCACCATTCAAGGGGGACTAGACCCCGGTTGCATAATAGTATAGGTCATTAAATATGAAATGTCCAATTTTAAATCAAAAGTGTAGCTTATTATATCTCAAACAAGAAGCAATACAATTAATCAAAGTATCCACCCAAACTATAGGCATAGTTTTGCCGTCTTAATGGTAGCTTGTTTATGCCAGCAGTGGAGAAGCCTGGAGAGCAAATGGTGATGAAATCACAAAAGGCATTTTTCACAGCTTGTTGAGAAGTGTATATTTTTCCTTGCAAGAAGTGGTCCAAAGCCTGGAAGAAGTGATAGTCAGTTGGTGCAAGGTCTGGTGAATATGGTGGATGACAGAAAGTTTCCAAGTCCAGCCCTCTGTAGTTTGAGCAGCGTTGTATGTGTGACATGTGGTCTAGCATTGTCTTGTAAGAGGATTGGCCTGTGTCTGTTGACCAATCTTGGCTTCTTAAATCACAAACATCCTCGTCATTTCATCCAGTTGGTTGCAGTAAACATCCATTGTAATTGATTGACCACGTTTCATAAAGCTGTAGTGGCTAAATACCAGCGCTGGACCACCAAACAGACACCATGAGCCTTTTTTAATGACTATTCCATTTTAGACTGTGTTTTGTCACTTCATCTTTATCCAACCATTGTGCCAAATGCTTGTGATTGTCAGAAAGAATCAATTTTTATCACACATCAAAATATGGTATAGAAATGGTTTGTCTTTATATCCTGACAACAAAGAAAGGCAAGCTTCAATACGATTTCTCTTCCAACACTGGATTCATTCATGCGGAACCCATCTATCCAGCATCTTTACCTTGCCAATTTGTTTCAAATGGTCCAATATTGTCGTAATAGTAATATCAGACCTTGCTCCATATACCTTTCACCTTATCATTATCAACCTTAGTCTCAGGTCACCCACGTGGCTCATTTTCAAGATTAAAATCACCAAAACAGAACTTCTCACACCATCCAGGTACTGTGCATTCATTAGTCAAATCCTTTCCAAGCACTTCATTAATATTTCCAGCTGTCTGAGCTGCTTTGGTTCCATGATGGAACTCATATTCAAAAATAACATAAATTTTTTACTTATCTATGATTGAACAAAAATCGCTCTAAAAAAATGTGAAAGAAAATCACAAGCCAAAACATGCATTTGAAAGACTGAGGATGTACCTTCACAATAAAAATAAAACAAGAAGTGTCAAAGTGAAATGTTAGTCATACTTATTAGCTGTCAAACTTAGTAATTAAGGAAATCTGACATTGCATACTTAATAACTGTTAATTGCCATATCACAGTTCATTCCAGGGATATCTTTTGGTCATTTTCAGTATTTCAGTATTTCTGCAGCTTCTGAGGGAATCTAGAATATTCCTTTTTTATCACAATAAAATCAGACCAACATATTATGAAGCAAGTCCATTATACATGGCTAGTTTAAGCAAATAGGTCACCTACAATTTCTTTAAAAGGTATATCACATCAGAATCCAGTCCAGTAATCAGTACTAAACTGGCCCAGATAAGGATGATTGTGGTGAAGTTTCATCAAATAGCCGAGGTTAAAATTCTATGCCAACTTGCTACTGGTATTTGCACGTGGGAAATAAATAGATTTAGAGATCAGGGTTGAGGATAAGTGAGCCTCTTCATTTAAGGGCCGAAATCATACCAACCCCAGAGATCACCTCCAGCTGCTACAGCAACCCTAAACCAATCCCAAAGAAAGTTTAATTCCATCTGTAGTATTCCAAGATTGAAGCCGATGAATAGAAGTAAGCATTGCTATAGAATGCAGACTCCTAGAGTCTGAATAATTTATTTTGGAAATGGCAGATTGGTTTTGAAAAGAGAATTACATTTACCATTTGTTCACTTCATATCAAGATGTTTAAGCAGATTTTTTTTTTTACTCTAAAATGTATCAATTGCTATGTTTTTAAAGGCTGTGTGTGTGTTGTTTTGCTCCATTTTAAAGTACTCTTTTAAAGTACATGTGGGGCATGAAATCTAATTAATCAGGGATGGCTTAAATGCTGCACTAGTGGCTGACATTAAAGCTGTCATTTAGTCAAATAGCACTAACCTACAGGGAGAGACTATGGTGTTAGAGGCCAGAGAATTCGGAGCGGGCAATAGCAGCCGTGTTATTGGGAATAGAGGCAGTGGACAAAGAATAGAACACGGACATCTCAGTGCATCTTAGAACCCTATATTCAAAATTATCCTATCTTAACAATACAGAAATTCCTTAAATTTTGAGAGTTATAGAACAAAATTCAGTAATTTAACTTTAATTTTTAAAATGACATTAAATTTGTTCTTAAAAATATTATTACATCAAAATTTAAATATAAACATCAATTTCTGCTAAATTTCTAAACTAAATGTCTGGAGGGCATTTCATTTTGATATATTATTTCTCTTACTGTAATATTTTTGTTTCCTTTTACCCAGCTCACCCTTGCCCATCCCTATCCCAATCTTTGAGTAATTAATATTAATAGACTGGAGTGTTAATTCCTTCACATCTTCCATCATAGATTCTGTTAATAAAATATAGAAGAGCAATTTATAGAAATATAAAGAAAAAAATTAAAATGTGTTTCTTTTTCTCTCAGTTAAAAAAATCTTTATCAACTTTTCTATTTTAATATTCTGAAGAGATGGAGTCTCACTGTGTTTCCCATACTGGTCTTGCATTCCTGGCCTCAAGGGATCCTCCCACCTTGACCTACCAAAGTGCTGGGATTATAGGCATGAGCCACTGAGCCCAGCAACTTTTCTATTTTAAAAACAATCATAAATATAAACTTGAAAAAGAAACTCCACAATGGCATATCCTATGACAATCATGCTAATATTTTAGAACATTTCTTCTTGAGCTACTTCTCTTCATAGATTTGTTATTTTCTAGAGTTATGTTATATATAATTGTATATTACATTTATATAATTTTGTGTATATTTTATAATTTCATATGTATTACTTATATAAATTTAGAGCCTTATTACTTCTTACCTGTAGCTTTTAAGGAAATTAGAAATGAGTTTTAAAGACACTTGTAAATATCTGCATAATATTCTACTGAAAGGATATATCATGCATGTGGCAGAACACTGGTGGTCTTAGCGCCAGTATCCATTGCTTCTCTTCATTTCCAGACATCCTTGCAGTGGTGTTAGCTGCCTCCTAGGCAATGGAATGTAGATGGGAGTGACGTATGTCACTTCTAAGCCTGTCCCCCAAAACCTTCCACATAATTCCTTGTATTCTCTCTTCCTTCTCTCAACTGGATAAAGAGGACCAAGCTGAAGACTCAGGATTCCTAGAAGATGGAAAGAACCAGCCTGGTTGAATCACCACATAAAAGGCCACTTCCCAAATACCTCATTGGCATGTGACATGAACAAGAATTAGAAATTTATTTTGGTGTATCATGAAAATTGTTACATCATCAAGCTCACTCTGACCAATGCATAGCTTACTTTAACACTTTATCTGTTAAACGTACTGGTCATGTGGTTGTCATGGAATGTACTGCTCAGTTTCCAATAAGAGCAACTGCAGCAGGAAGCATAGTTAACTGACACCCAGTTCCTGCTCTTTTCACTCTCCCATGGTGTCCTTACCAAGGCCACATGTCCCTCAGGCTGCTACCAACCAGTGGTTCAGTGCAGAATGGGTCATAGAGGCAGGATCTTCCTACCCAAAGCAGGACTCCTAAAACCTTTGTTCAGGGACTTACCATCCACATAGCTAAACTTTCTCAGAACTGCACTGTAGTCTGAGGCTCTTCTAACCAAGCCGTCCTTCCTTCCTTCTCCCCTTTCACTGCTGTCAGACCTGCCTCTGGGTCTGAAGACTCTTGCCAAGCTTCTGTTCTCTTTTTTTATCTTTCACACAAGTTTTGCCCAATAAATCTCTTCCATATATAATCCCATCTTCACTTCCTCTTCCTGTAGCATCTGAACCAATATAGATTATTTCAAAATTTTCATTATTATATATAATAGTGTGATGAAAATATTTATGCATATTTTTCTGAACTTCAGATAAAATTCTTAAAAGAGATTCTTTCAGCAGGCAATACAAACATTTTTAGAACTCATGGCACATATTGCCAAATGATATTTCAAATTGTTACAATTAACTATAATACCAATAACAAAGTACTTATATTGCCACATTCTCCACAGAATTAAATATTATCATTTTTAAAATAAAGCTTTTTACTGATTAGAAAGGTATAAATCATCATTAATAGCCGTTTCATTATAGGCTTTTGAGCCTAGTGAACTTGAACTTAATTCTGGATATTTGTATATTAATTGTATTTCCTCTTTTGTGAGAATTCTACTGGTATCTTTTGTTCATTTACTTCTTATATGTCCTATCATTTTTTCTATTTGTGACATGCATTTTTATTCATGAAAATCCCTAGTTCTTCTTTAATTTTCTTTAGAAAAAAATTAAAACTAATTTAAAACAAATAAATAACTAAACAGAAATTTTTTTGTAAGTACATCAGTATTACATGTGGATAATGATAAAATATGAGCTGTTTTTCAGCAGCACATTTCCAATGTGTTATGAGCTCTTTTTATTTTTTACCAGAATGTCAACATTTATTCTTTGGCAAATTTTAAATGTTAGCAATTAAGCATGTGTGGAATTACCTACCATGGAGAAGATCAAAAACTTTGCTAAAGATACTTAAGAAAATGTCATATTTCTTATTGCATAAATTTTATTTTCTTTTATCAAATAAAGCATTGTTGACCATATTTTAACCACTTTTCATGTCTTCAAAAAGCAAAATCAGTTGGGATGGTTCAACTAAAAACAAAAGATAACAAGGGGAAAAACTTGATTTTTTATACAGAATCTCTACTGGATCACTAAATTCACTCACATGCTCACAGGAACCTTTAAGTCCTAATGTTTATATGCAAAAATATAGAAAATAATATTATGAACACCTTTGTACCCACCACCAAGCTTACAAAATAAACACTGGAGATCATTCAAAACACTCTGTGCAATCTCCACAATCTCTTTCCTCTCTACTTTCCCCAAAGATAGCCGTTATTATGAATTTAATGTTTATCATTATTCTACTTGTTTTTATGCGTTCACTATATATATCATGCTTCAATAAACAATATACAACATTGTTTTGAATTATTTAAATTTTATATAAATAATATCATAACCTGCATATCCTTCTGCAACTTCTTTGCCTCAACATTATAATTTTGAGATTTATTCATCATGACAAGTGTAGCTCTGGTTCATTTTTTAATGGATATTTGTACACCAATGTTCATGACATTATTCACAGTTGCCAAAAGGTGGACAAAATTCAAAGTAGATGAATGGATTAACAAAATGTGGTCTATACATACGATAGAGTATTCAGCCTTAGAAAGGAAATTCTGATATGTGCTACAACATGGATGGACCTTGAAGACATTGGGCAAAAAGTAAAGTAAACCAGTTACAAGAAGACAACATGATTGGATCGTATGTTCCTACCCAAGGTGATACATTTGTCTTAGCAGCAGCAGTGTCACCTGGAAGTCTACTGTAAACATAGACTCTCAAAACTTACCCTACACCTACAGAATCAGAATCTATATTTTAACAAGATCCTTGCATGATTTAGAGGTACACTAGAGTTGGAGAAATATTGTCACGGAATTCCATTGCATTAACATTTCACACTTTATTTAAATTTTCTTTTTCTGAGACAGAGTCTCACTCTGTTGCCTGGGCTAGAGTACTGTGGCATCAGCTTAGCTCACAGCAACCTCCAATTCCTGGGCTCAATCAATCCTTCTGCCTCAGCCTCCCGAGTAACTGGGACTACAGGCATGCGCCACATGCCCGGCTAATTTTTTCTATATAATTTTAGTTGGCCAATTAATTTCTTTCTATTTTTAGGAGTGACAGGATCTAGTTCTTGCTCAGGCTGGTTTCGAACTCCTGACCTTGAGCGATCCTCCCGCCTTGGCCTCCCAGAGTGCTAGGATTACAGGCGTGAGCCACCGTGCCTGGCCTATTTAAATTTTTAATGTACTGACTTGATATTTTGCTTGTTTTATGTTTTTATTTTTAAGAAAACTTCCCCATACACAAAACAACAACTGTTTTCATGAATGGTCCCCATTTTGGCATATGAATGAGTTACTGAGGGAGTAGATTTTTAGCCCAGGATGAAGAAGACTAGGAACCTGTATAAATTTGCTCAACAGTCCTGAATGTACAGGATATATTGCTTTTCAACACTTTTTACTTTTACTAAATTGACTAAAATCAGGCATCTGCTGACACAGGTCAACATGATGTCCAATATCATAAATTTCCATAGTTTCTTTACCTTCACATCCATTATACTGGGACAGTTTTACCCTGCAAAGGTAAGAAGGAGGCATTTAGCTATCAGTGCACCATATCGATAATGAGAATGCTCACAGACCAGGCCTACGAAATACTTTCTGTGGCCTGTGGCTCCACTTCCTCTCCATCAAGGTTCACGAGGGACAACTTTACCAAGTCTGGTGACCAGCCTCCTGTAATCACTGGCAGACATTTCCTTCAAGGTCCTGCCACTCCCAGGGTGCTAGATCTCAGCATGTCCTCACTGGGTCACCTACAGGCCTTCTGTTTTCTTGCTTGGTGTTTGAAGAGCCAACATCTTGGGTAGAGTAATCCCACATTGAAAACACAAAGCACTACTAGAATTGTCTCTTGCTCTTTGAGTGATTTCTGTTACAGCTAAAACTTTATATATATATATATATATATATATATATATATTTGTTTTCACAAAGGTCTGCTAATTCTGCTTTGATGAAAGCAGAGCTCAGACCTTGGAAAGAAACACTGTTAAATCCTTCTATTGCTTTAGAAATAATATGCAACAGAGAAAAATAATACAGAGTACCAGTGAATTTCTCATTACTACTGTATTACAAGCTTAACATTTGCTAAAGCTGGAAGCTCTAACTCACAGTAAAACAGCTAAGTTCTCTTCAGGACTGATTGCTTCTATCACAGAGACACTATATTTCTTTAACTCATCTCCTCCACTCCAATACCTTCCATTTTATAAATTAGGAAATTGTCCCAAAAGAGTACAAATAGCTTACCCAATCCCAAGGTTGCTCTGAGAATAATCAGCCACAGTTCCTCTGAAAAATATCATTTAGGAAAGGGCCTCACTGGTTTGATGCACCATGAGTCCAATAAGATCCCCACTTCTTGTGGCCATCATAGGGGTTCATTCAAAATGCTGCCCCAGCAATGAAGTGCAAGTCACACAGCAACGAGTACCTATAGTCAAAGAATCATAAAACAAATGAAAAAAACAGAACATTTGGCTGCCTAGGCAAGGTAAAAATGGATCGGAGAAATCTGTAAGATTGATAAGTTATGTGAAGGCAAAACCTGAAAAGCCAACAATTATTAAAGACTCACAGGGAGTTGATGGTAGAGTTGGCAAAATTCCATGAGTCTTGCTGCCCAACAAACCCAATTCAATCAACATGGTCACTGCCCACTGGGTGCCAAGTACTTCGACCTTTATCCCATTTGATCTTTAAAATCATTCAGTAGGGTAATATATGATCACCATTTTACATGTAAGAATGATAAATTTCAGCCAAAAAATTAATTAAATAAGTTATTTATATACTTGCTAAGTAACAGAGAACTTATATTGCTGCTGGTAGGACTTCTGGTTGTAGGTCCAGCTCTCTTTTCTGTAAAACTCACTAAATAGGCAGTAAAAATATCAGCCAATTATAGATTCCCCAGACTCACCAGCCCCAAAGAAGCTGTATTAACAGTAATCACCTAGGGTCATTCCATCTCTTGGCCCTTTCTGCTCAAGTTTCACTCCATCCACCTGAAAAGGAACTAAAGTATTTGTTGGAGACATGCTCTGGAGAATGTCTGCTCCTACCTGGACACAAACTCGGACATGTTCCTTCCTGCCAGGCTCCTACTGGGTGCTGGGTACTGTCAGGTCAGATGGGCAGCATCATTTTCCACTTGGACTTTGTTCTCTTGTATTACAGCAAAGAATCTCTAGCTCTCTAGCACACACTCTCTCCATTCTGTTAGGGACATACCTAAACAAAGCTATTACTATTTACTATACAGGGCTTCTAATGAAATTATTCTTCACATCATTTTTATTTAAAATGCTTTTCCCCTGCACACATACCCCCATCAGCACAGTACTTGGGCACAAGTGAAATAAGAAGGCAAATAAGTGTTCTGACAGATCGGAAGGACCAGCCAGCACTGGAACACATCTCTTTCATGTGGTTTTATTCTATAATTCACCTTCTCAGACCCGATTCTTCCTCCATCGAGGATCCCTATGTAACAGAGGCTTCTGGATCTCTTCCCCCACAGTGTTCATCAGGTGTCTCTAAGTCTCATCTGAGGCCAGCCCCAGGATAGCACCATAGGATAATATAGGGAACTGATGTTTATTGAATTCATGCTGTAGGCAAGCCTTATGCCAGGTATTGTGTTTATATTATTTATTCTTCTTAGAGCACTGCAGGTAGGTATTATTATCCTTATTTTCATATAAGAAAAGGGAGTCTTGGAACCCTTAAACTATCTAAAACTGTACAGAGCATAACTAAATTATCATGATTTTTCCTTAAGTATTTTGTCTCTGAAACCTGCTCTTTTCCCTCTAGATCAACCTCTGTTCATATGTGTGTGTGTGTACGTGCACGTGTGTGTCTTTGTCTCAAGTAGCTTCCAGGCCATTTTATTCTCCCCACAAATAACGATTTACACTTACTTGCCTGGTGCTACATGGTCCCCATGCTTACGGAGCTAACAGTCCAGTGGGAAAGGTAAACAGGAATCAAATAATCATAAACATATGTAATCTTATGCTCACTGGCCCACACATCCATTG